CAGTCCATTGAGCACTAGATTTAATACCAGGCACACCCAAGTTAAATCACTGTAATCCAAGGCATGCGTTGTCGAGATGACAGGGATGAGGGCATTTCTCCACCTAAAACTCTCAGATGATTCAAAGTCTCAACAGATGTGAATTTTTATTTGTAACTCAACCAAGCCTGTGATACCCATACGTTTTTTTTACTGTTTTAATTTGCAAGTGTATCAGTGCCTTGGGACATCCTCCCAACGTGAAAGGCGCTCTATAAATGTAATTTTGTTGTTGTTGATTATTTAGTAGTGTTAATTATTTAGTCTGCAAACCAAAAACCTTTATTAATCTACCAACAGGACTCGTATATTACAAATCTTCACAGCATAATTTTATTGCATAAATCTACTAATTAGGTTCAATGTCGGTCAGTTGTCGCTGACTCAAGAGACGTGGCTCTGCAGACTTCCCTTCAATGGCAGCGTAACAATAATAAAACCCCAACAATTGATATCGCCATCAAGTCACAGAAACACTAACAACTGCCCACAAATAATCATCGCTGGACTCTCTTAATGATGAATTTTCCTTGACAAGTCAGAGGAAAAGGACTGGCACTGTTGTACACAAGTTTGAATTCAGCATGAACATTAATGCCACAAAGTTATCTGAAGTTGGAAATTATACATTTACAAGGTGCTCATCCGAGGTTTGGGTTTGAGCACATTGCTGAGGCAGACAAGGTGGCCTCAACTTGTACACTGCAGATCCAGATGCTAAAAGTGTGTGGCAAAACATGCGGCACTGCCAGACTCCGAGCCTCAGGACCTAAGCATTTTGAGACACTACCCCCATGGAGGGCGCTGTATTAAGCGCAAGTCGATGTGAGGAAAACATGTTCTGCACATGCATGGTGCATCATCAAAAACATTGTAATCTCAGTACCCAAATAATGTTAGCATAGGCTGGGAGATATCAGGTGATTTTCCTCCAGGCCTGCCCCCCCGGTTTCACTGTAGTTATTTGGATGGCAGAAATTGCGGACATAAATGTCAAATAATGCTTTGTGCATACTTGGTAGCCATATATTGTAAACGTCTTTGTGTACATACGGAACATCACCTAGTCTGGCACTGTTATGTAATCAGATGTCCCGCTTGTGGAGGCATCAGGAGATTGAACATGGAGTGGAACCTTTTAAAATTCACAACTGGGAAAATTGTTTTACATTACAAGCAGCCAGAGGCAAACTCACAATGTTAAACATTGTGTTCTACTTTATTGCCGCTCAGCATTAATTTATTACGAGTAGATAAAAGTCCACTTCTCATCGTAAAATCCATAATTTAGTTACCCAGTGAATTTTCATTTCTTTAATAACGTAACAGACCAAATCATTATAAAACAGAAAGTTTGCTTTCTTACACAAACAATGGTTATGTCCTTACTGAGACAGACTGCTTGACTATGGGCTTCACCAACAAATATACAGTCATTACAATGCACAGTAAAATTCTGTTAAGCTCTTTGAGATATCTTGATAAAGGCGCAATATCAAACTCCACAATTAACTTTGTGCTATTGATGAGCCCACATGTTTCAAAGGACCATCAATGACAAAGATCACCTGCTGGTGTTCTTTTTGTGAAAGGACTGAGTTTTTAGAGTTCCCGTTCATCCCATCAGATCCAGTTATGATACAGTAGTTCAGATCCATAAAATCAGAATCTGTGCTCTAACAGGTTAAGCACTTTCAGGTGAGAAGGTCACCAATGATTTCGGTGCCAGGAAGCAGGAAACTGTTCTCACAAGTTGCTGGAATCCCAGACAACCTTCTGTGCTCCAGAAACAGACTGCACTTGCAAATACTGTACCATAGATCTACATAGCAACCGCAATATAAATGGGCCTCTGGTATACAAAAGTGAGATTGTACCTATGCCAATAATTATACAGGAGAGAGACTGGAACTCCCTTCACTTTAACATCATTATTCGAGAATAAAAGAGAATAGAAGACCAGCAAATTGGAAAATTAGAATCAACAAACTATACTGCAGTTCTCAGAGCAACCCCTTGTAATCAATCAGATTACAAACCAACCCTATTTATTTATTTACTTACTTAAAGCAGTTTAAAGTTGTCTATGAAATTCCGTTAATTTGGGTGGGGGGAAATGCATTGGCCTAGTAAAGCAGTGGAAGGCGCAGGATCAAACCTCATCTGGTCTGTGCCGACTTAGGTGATAAAATCTGTAACGGCAGCTGAGGTCTACAGCTAACCTCTTAGATTTAGGGAGAGGGAAAAAAATCAGCCATGGTTTCCATTTACTGATCTCTGTCCAGAGAACCCAGTTCGGAACAGAATTGGATCAGGACAGGGTGGGCTTAGGAATAATATCGGTCTCTCTCCCCACTTCCAGGATTTGCAGGATTCCCTGCGGCTTTGAAAGATGTAAAATTGAAGTCGGGGAACTCAAGGCTCTCTTTAGGCTTCAGACATTCTGAGGCAGTTCTTCAGCTTACAAAACACACAGTCACTACACTTTACAGTATATCTTGTGAAGCCACCACTGGGGCTGTGCTTTCAGCGATATGCCCGAAACTCTGGAACACCTTGTCTCAAGCCACCCCTGTCACCTTGCCACCTCTTTGCCCATCTTCAAATCACATGTGAAGACTTTCCTTTTTGACTGTGGCTTCAGTTAGCTTGCCTCTCTTTCCAGCTCAACATTAAACCATACTGCTGTTAAGCAACAATAACTTGCATTTATATAGTGCCCTTCACACGGGAAAGCATCCTTGAACACTTCACAGTGGCGGAGTCTGACCCCAAGCCAGGGGGCAAGGGACGAACATGAGGCTGGAGCTGGCTGAGCGGAGCCAATAGGTGGTGGAGTGGGGTGTAAGCAGATCGGATAGGACGGTAGGTGCGATGGCATGAAGGGATTTGAAAACGGGTAATAGGATCTTGAAATCGATCCATTCGGTCCTTGCCAGGCCAATGGAGCCTGGCAAGAACTGGTGTAATGGGGGTACTACTTGCATGACAGGTGCTAGATAAATGCAAGTTGTTATTGTTGCTGAAGCGCTTTGAGATGTCCTCCTGACGAGAAAGATGTTATATCACTGTTTCCGACCTCCTCAACCTACCCAACCTGTCCTTAAAACTCTCCGAACCCGTGTGCAACGTAGGCATCAGGTTCGATCCCCAGTATCCTTCCTCAACCACATCCGGTCCCTGACTAGCACCACTTTCTTCCACCTCCACCACATTGCTCATCTCCGACAATAGCTCACCCCAAAAGCTGCCGAAATCCTTATCTGTAACTTTGTCACCTCTTGGCTGGGCTACTCTAACGCCCTCCTCGCCGGTCTCCCCTCCTCCACTATTCACAAAATTCAGCTCATTCAAAACTCCGCCGCCCGCATTCTCACCCGCACCAAACTTCATACCCCAATTACTCCAGTCCTTGCCAACTCCACTGGCTCCCTGTCACAGAGCGGATCGACTTCATGATCCTCACTCAGGTGTTTAAATCCCTCCATTCCTTGGCACTCCCCTATCTCTCTAACCTCCTCTCTCCCCTCAGCAGTACCCGCTGCCTCCGCCCTACTCAGTCCGGCCTGCTCCGTGTCCCCCGAATCCTCCTCTCTACCTCCGGCAGGCGTGCCTTCAGCCACTTCGCCCCGAAACTTTGGAACCCCCTCCCTCAACCTCTTCGCCTCGCTGCCTCCTTCCCCATCTTCAGGTCGTGCTTGAAGACCTTCCTCTTTCACCGCACCTACGGCCAACTTCCCCCTCCCCCTGGCTCGGCCTCGGACTCTGCCATTGTTGAGCACTCTGAGATGCCACCCATCATGGAGGGCGCTGTATAAATGCAAGTTGTTGTTGTACCAAATGCAAGGATTATTATTATTGTTTTGCAATATTCACAGCTCTCTCTTTCTTCTAAAATCAATATTTCAACCAAGCATCACTGGAGAAAGGTAACTGTTGCACAAATATATGAGGGCAAAAACGAAAGAAACAGAAACACAAGACCTGCTTCTTGATCCTATTCACTTAAATGGGAACTGAGCTTACAGAAGCTGGCTCCAAGTTAGTCGGAGCCATAAAAAAAATTGGAGCAGGAGAATTTGAATATAAATTATCACAACATCAAATGCACTGTTCAACAGTGGCTGAGAAGGAGGAATCCCAGTCTCCAATGACTTGTCTGCTCCTCCCAAGTCCTGCCGATGAATCAGGATGGCTGGTTCTACACGATTGGTACCCCAAGAGTTATGTGAACCTGTCTAGACTTGAGTTACGGACTACTGAAACCACCAGAGAATCTTCCTTTGCAGTCATGTCACCTTGGAGAGCTCAGCCTCAAAAAGAAGTTGCTTAATACCTCCCTCTCCAGATAAATTTTCTTTAGCGAGTAGCAAGGGCAAAACTTTGGGGAAGTTTCCTTACTCTATACGTCTCTGTTTATCTAGCAGTAAGTAGGAACCGGTTGAAAGTCGATTGGCAGATCGCTTTTCCGGGTGTAATTATCCCTTCTCAAAAAAAAATTAAGAATTTGGTCACTCAATCCAAGACTGTTTGTGGGACACTGCAGTGAGCAATTGGCTGCCATGTTTCGCCCACAAAACATACAGTCAATTCACTTTACAGTATATTCTGTGATGTGCTTTGAGATGTCTAGATGTGATAAGGCGCCAGATCAAATGTAAGGATTATTATTACTCCATCTTGCATGTACGCGTGAAAGATTAAAAGAGTCTGATCAAAAGCAACATTTCTACAAGGCTGAAAGATGGTTATCAGGCAAGCTGCTCAGCACTATTGGTACTCTACCCCCAAGGAAGAGTCAGCAGGGAAGAAACCTGGCAAAAAGAGAGCAATTGATGGAATTCTTCACAAATCTATTGAATTTATCTAAGGTAGATATTTTGTTAAGTGCTTTAGCACTGCTCTATAAGACCCAAACCAAAGATGGAACAAGTTAGTGAATCTCCAAATGTGAACCTTACCATTGTATTTCAATGCAATTCTTGGAATAACAGAGCCCAAAGCTGACGCCAACAGAAAGTGGAGAAGGATGCAGCAGATAACAGGCGACATGTTCAGTCTTCTCATTGCAGACAGTAATACTGGAACAACCAGAAATCCAGAACCACAGAAGTGGAAATCTCAACTATTCAGACATCTGCAGCATTCAAAACTTGAGGGCTGTTCAAAACATAAGGCTGCCAAGTGATTGATGTCGTCAAATTGGTGAGCGTCAGTTACTGGAAAAACTGATATCTCTTGACCATTTTCTTCTAACTAGTCAAAACCCTCCAGCATCTCTGACCATCATCTCAACAGGAGGCACAAAATCCAGTTCAGATCACAGTCAACCTGCAAGAAAAAGACAGAGTGCGAATTGAGTCACTGACATGAGAATAAAATAAAATTTCCTTCTTACAACCTCAAACAGTGTCTGTGACTGATCAGATCAGCACTTAAATATGGTTGCTTAGTGAAATCTAAAGCCGATAAAGTGATCTAACGATCAAACATTCTGAAACGACATTTTGGGATCCGTCCCAAAAGTTATTTCTTGGTAAATCTGCAGCAATCATGGGATCATACCACGATAACTGCCATTATCTACATCATCAGCTGGCTACATATATCACCTTCAGTACTAGTATTGGAGTATCTGCAAAGCTGAGAGAAATCTAAGCCTCCTAGGTATAGGCATCGCTGTACTTGAATTATCAGCAAACTAAAGGGGAATCAGTATAGATTTTAGATCTACACACACACACATTACAAAACACAAGGGGTAATTTAGTTAGTAATCAGGGTTCAATAAAGTCTCCAAATTTTAAGTGGTTTACAACGATCAAAGGTATCTGTTGCTCTGTGCATCAGCAAATGCCCTGACGATTATGCACACAAAATCAAGCTTTGGGCACCAATCCCGCCTTTACTAATGGACCCTTTACTTGTAACACACGAACTGGATGCTTTATTCCTGTCCTGTGAAGAGCATTGAGCTGGAGCAGAACCCAAAGTCCAAACCTGCGATGGTGTCTGAGATAAGACATTGAGCCCTGAGACCTCAGACGCCGCTGTACTCTACAGGAGCAGCATCCCTTTAACTGTTTATGGGCAGTTGGGGAGCAGAACAACAACAAAATTACATGTGTACAGTGCCTTTCATGTTGGGAGGGCGTCCCAAGGCACTGAAGAATCAGGTCATGTTCTACATGTGCAGGATCAGGCTCAGGTCAAATCAGACACCCAATATAAAGCCATAAGCCCATTGGTATGTGACTGGTTAATCTTAATGTTTATGAGATTGTTCAAACGTGTGTAAATCAAACAAACATGCAATCTCTTGCTGCACTTTTTTCAATTGTTTTAATATAAAGAAACCATTAACGTTTGACAAGTGAAAAATATCTCCCCACAATCAATTAGGAGGGATTTATTGAAACGATCCTTGAACCACTGCTCTCGACTCCCGCTTGACCTCAACTGATCAGTCCACTCCCTGGTCAGAAAATTAAATCCCACTCTTAAAGATACCATCAGATAAACAGCTTGATCAATATGCTTTTAATCCACTGCTCTTCAAAATCTATTTTGTCAGATATGCCTCTGCAGTTCAAACTTACTTATGACAATCCTCAGCTTCTACAATTGCTGCTACTTACTCAAAATAATCAATGAAGTAAAATATTGCTGGCGATTTTATATAATTAAAAAAGGTCTTTATCACGACAATATCTTATAGCTTCATCAAGAACAATCTAATCCTACAGTGTGTGGCTGTGAGAATGAAGAATTTGGTTTACAGTCTAATACAATGACTGTAAAATACATTTGGAAGGATTACAAAAGTTGCTCTGTGAAGTGTCCCAAAATAGCACCTCATTCCAATACTGTTTCTGGGCTCATTTTGGATTGAATTTATTTTAATGTTAGGCATGCACACCCCCAATTACACTTTAAGCAAACCCATGTTACAACAAAGTGCATTATAAACAAATGTTCTACTGTTCTTGAAATAATCACACACAATAACAGCACTGCAAGCTCCTCCAAATCTCTGAGACATGTCAAGCAAAAACATATTTGAAGAACATTGAAAATTTAGATTAAAATATCTTTTCTAGATATAACAATAGATTTAAAAAAAGCCTGGAGATTGATTCACTATAGTACTATGGATGGGGAAAAAAACAATATTAAGGTTTTAAAAGCAGCAGCAGAGAAAACACAGCAACAGATACTTTGAATTTACCCTTTCCTCTGAAGCAAAGATCCTTAAATTAGATTAGTACCTGAATTACACAGCAAACAGAAGCCTGGTTCAACTGATATCATGCTCTCAACCATCTGCTCACGATTAGATCTTTTTAAAAAGCAAAGCCCAATTGCACAGAAAATTCCCCTTCTCTCAAGGGGCATTCAGTGACAAACTCACTTTCAGTGCACCACAGGATTGTCTGCTCAAGCCCCATCTCGGAAGCTGACACTTCAGTACAACGCAGAAAGTGCTCGCTGCATTGTCAGAAGTGTCAACATGTCCTTCGGCTGAGATGTTAAACCAAAGTCCCGCCTGCCTTTTTAGTAGACGTTAAAGACTCCATGACACTATTCAAAATGAGAAGGGAATTTCTCCTGGTGTCCTGGCCAACCAGCTCCACATACATTGATGATTCACTTCACAGTTGCAAATGCTTGCTGAGTTTGCCCACAAATACAGTCACCTGGCAGCAATCCTCTTTGTGATGTTTCATTGTTATAGGCACTATACCAAATGCAAGGTCCAACGATCTGATCAATAGATAGTGTGTTAACCCTTTGCATCAAGCACATTGTTGTTTCAGGGCTACGAATAAAATTCTCTGATCAGCTGCACTCATCCATAGAAACTGACAGTCAATTTCCAGAATCTAAGAGAAGAAAGTACGCACTTATTTTGAAAACAGTACTCTGAAGGCTGAAAGTACCTGCAGCAACCAGCGTATTCCTACAAACCTTCCTATTTTTGCATTGCCACTGAAAACAAATCGACTAAATTCTGCCAGAGGCCAGCCATTGGATCACAATAAGAAAGGGTTAAATGAACCTGCAGCCAGCAAATTGCTTTGAACCATCAGACCCTTCCCTCACCTGTCCTGATATCTGAGGAGCCAATACTTCAGCACTATCTATTGCTGTCTGTCATCGTGCCAAACAAGATGTTAGCTAGTGGTTTATAAAAACAGGAAAAACTTCTTCAAAAAATATTTAGCAAGTGGAATCCTACATTTCAACACTCAAAAATCCAGCCACTAGTAAATCCCCAAATCTCAACAAAAGCCCAGCTACTCGTGTTACACAAGCTGGCACTTCTCCAAACCAAACCATTTTGTCTCCTAGAATAAACATTCGTCTTCATTAAGCATTATGAAAAATGACACCGCCATCACTGCCTGTAACTGCGCACACAATGCCCCAAGTTGCCAAGAGCTCTGCAAGGAATTCGACTGAAGTCAACTTTCAACGGGATGGTATCTCACGGTTATCTGAAAAGATTATGATTAAAATAAACCCCTAGCACGTTTCTCCAAGCACTGTACCGTCACCGTAGGACAGCTGCACTCCCTCAAAGAATCGAGTGGTGTGAACTCCCTCAAAGCTATGGTTTAATGGATCGCCTCAAAGTCACAATTGTGATGCAGGCTTTTGAGCACCACCCAGTCAGTCGCTAGAGGGTTGGTTATAAAGATTGGCAGAATAAATCATACTATTAAGTAGCTTAGTAAAATATTTTGAAGTAAACTGATTATATAGAGAATCAATTAGTGCACCACTGCAGCATTAAATGCAAAGCAATCTCAATTATTGCTATAGTATATAGGGCAAGCCTTACAGCCTATCTGGAAGGATAATAAGGCACAATCATGTGGTTAATTCAATACCTGTACAGCTCTTCTACTACAAGGTGATACTAGATATGCTTGGACAGTGCCCGTTGATCGTTCCCTAGATTAATGCCTGGAATGAAGGGGTTTAGCTATGATGAGAGGTTGGGTAGACTGGGTTATATTTCTTAGAGCAGAGGAGGTTAATTGGGATATTTAAAATAAGAAAGGAACTGACAGATAGTAGATATGTCTTCCCTTTAGCAGAAGGATCCATTACAATGGGACATAGCCTTAAAATTAGAATCAGGACAGTTAGAACTAAGGTCAGGAAGCATTTCTTCTCACAAAGGAGAAAACAATAATAACTTTGTACAAATCATTGGTTAGACTGTTACTGGAATACTGCATTCAGTTTTGCACATCTAATTTCAAGAAAAATGTTACGGACTTGGAGGGGGTGCCGAGGAGATTTAGAAGAATGATTTTGGGGATGAGGGGCTTGAGTTATGAGGAAAGATTGGAGAAGTTTGGTCTGTTTTCATTGGAGCAGAGAAGGTTGAAGGGAGACCTGACAGAGTTATGAAGGGTTTTGACAGGGTAAAATAGAGAAAGGCTATTTCCACAATACAGGACTTGGTGTCTCAAGCAATTATACAGACACATGAAGAACGAAAGGAGAGCGTAAATAAAATGTTTTCATTCAGAGATGCTGGGATGTGGAATGTTCTGCCATGGTAGACACAGAGTACATTGTAGATTTCAAGAGGGAAGTAGATATAGATATACGAAAGATAGAAGTTTGAAAGAGTAGGAGATAAGGCAAGGCAGTGATATTGAATGAACGCATCACTTTGAGAGAAGGTGCAAACTTGATGCGGTGAATGACCTCCTTCTGTGCTGCCAATTTCTATGGTTCTACGAGAGGGTTGTATAGGTGTACAATTCTCTGCCCCAGAAATTCGTAGGCGGCAGAGTTTTGAATGATTTGGATTTTATGGATGGTAGTGGATGGGAGACCGGCGAGGAGGGCGTTGGAGTAGTCCAGCTGAGAGGTGACAAAGGCATGGACCAGGGTTTCAGCAGCTTTTGGGGAGAAGTATTGGCGGAGACTGGCAATACGTCGGAGGTGGTAGAAGGCGGTGCTGGTGAGGGACTGGATGTGGGGGAGGAAGGATAATTGGGGGTCGAACCTGACGCCTAGGTTGCGTACGGGTTCGGAGAGTTTTAGGGGGAGGTCGGGTAGATGGAGGAGGTGAGAGCTGTGAGATTTTAGACGTTGACGAGAGCCAAAGAGTATGGCTTCCGTCTTGTCAACGTTCAGCTGAAGGAAGTTTGCGCTCATCTAGATTATATTGCCTCTCCTCATTCTTCCCCCCAAAATGTATCACTTCACATTTCTATGTCAGATAGATATTTGGGCAGTGGAGGCATTTAGGGAGTATGGCAAAAGGGTAGGACATCAAATAACCTGGTGGAATCGCTACAATAGGC